TTATTCCAGAACGACATTCCACCCATCAACTTATCCTTCAGGCCTGGGCTCCAATGCCACACTTATTTCTTCCCAAGGCCCAGTCAAAACTGGATCCCATGATACCCTGACTGGTGATGTTTCCTTTCACCGCACCGCTGTGTTAACAACTATTATTGTTTTTATGTCTGTGCAGGCAGAGACAGACTCGCTACTCACTTATCCACCATCCCACATTTCTAGAGCACTGTGGACAACACAGTCACCCCTTACCTGGCCAACAGTTCCTAACTGGAAGGCCACTAGCCTTCTTCCTAGAGTGGCTCATAACAGCAAGAATATTTGTTTATTCTCTGCAGCTGGCTAGTAGGGAAAATGTTGACTGAAGTTTCTGTCCCACCCGGTCCCAGAAATGGCTCCCACGTGGACAACTGTATCCACATAAAGCCTGAGAGAGCTTGGGAAGTAATTCTAGACAGAAAAGAATAGAGTTAAGCATGGCTTATTGATAGCAGCACTTTCTTGGGTGGGCTCTCTTTGCTAGAGACAAGCGCAACTCGTTTAAGAGAGGCTTCCTGACTCAGCTTTAGCAACAAAACCTTGCAGCTCTTTTAAGAGCCCCTGCCACCATACACTTAAATGGTGTTTATGAATAGCTGACAACATGCTTTTTGGTGGTGGCAAGGACCATGAAATGCCATAGAGTTGTGGCAATAAACATGGCTCCAGCCAGTACCTCCACCATGAGGCTAGACTCTAAGAAAGGTAAGAAATAGGGTGGATCCAGCCATTAAAGCCAAGGCTTTAATCCTAGCCATATCACTTATCAAATTAAAGACTCATGTGGGTCAGAAAAAGAGAGATATAGTAAAGATAGATTCAGATGAAGAAAACCTCTAAATGGTTTACAGTGTGTTTAAAAATATATGTAGGCTTGGGAGAGAAAAGAAAAAGGATAGAGTCCTTAATATAAAAAAGAGAGTAGTCGGGTGTGGTAGCACACATCTTTAATCCCAATACTTGGGAGGAAGAGGCAGGCAGATCTCTGTGAGTTCAAGGACAGCCTGGTCTACAGAGTGAGTGTCAGGACAGCCAAAGATACACAGAGAAACCTAGTCTCAAAAAAAAAAAATTAAAAACAAAAATAAAAGAAATAAGAGTTTAAAATAAAGCCACTTAAAGATGGAAAATACACATAATCTGTTATTGTGTTGTCTTTGAATTGTTTAAATACTAAGGAAGGAGCAACAGCTAAAAGACATTTGATTTTAAATGCTGTTGGATTAATCCAACATATGTATTTTGAAAATGCCCTGACTTAAAAATTTAAGTCAAAAGGTATGTTACTTTGGAGAAGAGGTTTTACTTTTGTTTCCACTGGAAATGAGAGGCTGTGGATTCATTCTGGATTAAGAAAAATAAGGTTTGATCAAGAAAGACGCCCCCCAACCCGAATCTCTGATAGGAGCAAATGGCCCAGATGTCTGAGTTCTACATCCAGAACAGCCTCAAGACTGCTAGCTGAGATGATCAAGCCTCGTGGAATATTCCAGCCAAGACTTGACCTTAATTCTAAATTTTCTTTAGTTCCACATAAGATTATCAGCACCCTCAGTTAGCAGTTAGTAGCCTGGAAAACTATGCCCACATTCCCAAAAAAATGGATTATGGATGTTTTTCTTTGTTTAGAGTGTTGGTTACAAGTTGTATGGATAAGGGTCAGGAAGAAAGCTAAACAAGTGAGATTCAATTCATAGTTCTTGTTTTGAAAAGGGAGGGAGTGTTGTGGAACAATGGTTTTACCCTGTAAAGACTTGTTTCTTGTACTTGTTTAATAAAACACTGAATGGCCAGTAGCCAGGCAGGAAGTAGAGGCAGGGCAACGAGAACAGGAGAATTCTGGGAAGAGGAAAGGTCAGTCTGCAGGCATCACCCAGACACAGAGGAAGCAAGATGAGAATGCCTTGCTGAAAAAGGTACCAAGCCACGTGGTTAACATAAACAAGAATAATGGGCTAACTTAAGATGTAAGAAAGAGTTAATAAGAAGCCTGAGCTAATAGGCCAACCAGTTTATAATTAATAAAGACCTCTGTGTGTTTCTTTGGGACTGCAGGACTGGGCAGGACAAAAACCTATGTCAACAGGAAAATACTTTAAAAGATCAATGACAAAGACAACTCTAGTCTTTTTTCCTAGTAAGTTTGTAGAGCATTTATCTTTCACATCCTCTGATCTCCCATTGCTCTTGGCATCTGTAACTTAATCTGCTTTAGACACTTCATGGATGGTATAGCACTCAGTTACCAGAGTATAGTACATGACAATCCAATACTAGAGCATCAAAGAAACTATAGATAGCATTACTAATAAGGCTAAAAGCGCTCAAGTTGCTGCCAATCTATATGGATGAGGACCATATATGGACTCTATATGGACTCTGGGGAGTCAATCAGAGATCATCGTCATGTGTCATACCTTCGCCCACGCCTCCTACAACTCTGAGCAGTGCTTCTGTACTATTTAACATGGCAGGTATCTAACCCATTTGACGCAATTATCTTCAATAATTGATTATTAGTTAACACCATCAACTTCTGGTTGCTATACAGAATTTGAGTAGAGGCTGAGGGTCCATCTGAATAGAAAAACATCTGTCTAGCATGTACTATGGAAGCAAAGAAAAACAACTGAAGAATTCACTATGCTATTCTGCACAATTGAGACTCTGAATTGAGCATGTTATAAACTATATTCACCTAGTAATAGAATTAAGAGACTCTAAAACTGAAATCTTAAAAGCTTAGCCTTATACTCTGAGGAGTCAATGTAAGAGCAAAATAAGAATCACTGCGCAGTGATATTCCACAAATTTAGCATGGCCATGGTCCATTATTTCTGTTGCATTTTTTTTAATTTTTACAATAATCTCGAAAACTGAGGAAGCTGAGGTTGAGGGATTAGGTGACTTTTTCAATTACCACATAGCTGATAATGTGTCTATCTTTCAGATGCTCTAAACTGAACAAAAATAATAAAATCCACACTACAAGCCACACACAAAATAAGCTCAACCGTAGGGGGCTTAAAGTGCAAGATGCATGACACCTTTCAGCTCACATTCTACAACTTACAGATACAGTGCTATACTGCTGAACTTGACTTTACCGAAATAAACCTGAAATGTATTTGTAAAAAAATTATGAATACTAAAAATGCTGCAGTAAAATATCATTTACCAACTCCATTTCTGACTGAGCCTATAAACAGAAAAGATTGGATGTGAAAAAATCTAAGTGTGAGTGTTTCAGAAAGTGCTTAGCTTCTGATAGGACAAAATACAACAATAGAACAGAGGTAGTATTATCTAAGGCTAAATGATGTCAATCTTTTAAACAATCCACAAGCTTGTAAGGGCTGGGACCTATCACTTACTTCAAACCATGATTATTACTTTATCAAACACTGGGACAAGTGCAGTCTTGTAAGACATGAATGTATGAGATCAAACCATCACAGTCAAAACAAATCACATAAACTTCTTCATGCTGATCATCTCGCCCTGTGTGGTACCAACTCTGAAGTCACAAAAATTCCACTATAGACTTGCTGAGGCAGATGTCAAGTAATTCAACTCATAAAAAAGTTAAATATTAATCAGGTCTCAAAAGCATCAATGTTATCTTCAAATAATTATCTGAACCCCGAGGAAATAAAAGACTTACGAGGCCATAAAAAAAAAAAAAAAACAGAAGGAAAAGTCAGTAAGAGTGTATGGGAATGGTTTTTTGTTTACAAAGTAAAAGGGCTTCACAAAAATAAAGACTCCAGACTTTTCCTCTAGACATCCTCGAGGGGGAAAAAATAAAATAAAATCCTTGTTTCCTTTTTTCTCTAAAAACTCACCCATGTCACTTTTTAAAAACATCTCTTTTTTAAATATTTTATATGTATGAAATGTTTTGCCTGCATGGATATATACCACATGCGTGGTTGGTTGGTGCCTATTAAGGTCAGAAGGCATGGGATCTCCCTGGAAGTGGAGTTACAGATGGTTGTGTGTTGTGCGCTTCCTTGTGGGTGCTGAAGACTGAACCCTCTTGGTTCCCTGCAAGAGCAACAAGTGCTCTTAACTTCTGAGCCATCTCTCTACCACTGCCCTGCACCGATGCAGCTCTCTTTCCAAAAAGTTTACATTACAAACAAAAAAGATCGTGCTATTATCAAATACAACTTTTCCCAAGATTTGAGATGTGTGTGCGGGCATGGTGGCAAACGCCTTTAAACCCTAACGCTGGGAAGCAGGGAAGCAGGGAAGCAGAAGCAGGTGGATCTGTGAGTTCAAGGCCAGCCTGGTCTACTTTGCAAACTCTAGGTCAGCTAGAAATACACAGAGAGATCCTGCCTAAAAATAATAAACAAACAAAAAATAAAAAAGAAAAGAAATAAAAAAGATTTCTATGGTCCTCTACATATTCAAGGTTGCAAATAATGGGCTTTAATAATTAATAGACTATAAACACATGTTATTAAGATTTTCCTTCAAACATCAACCTTTCTTTCCACTCAGGATCCCTAATGGATATGCATAAACCATACACTACAATCTAAAAAGAACCCAGATGGTAGTATGTTCTCTCCACCCTGTCCCAAGAGAGAGCCTCTTCCACACCTCCTCCACACTCCCTTCTCTGGGCTCTAAACACATGCGTAACTCAAAGAGGTGACACACTGTCAAGACGGGGTGAAAAAAGACAGGGGCACACAAGATACATAACTGGATGGGAAAGGCTGCTAAGTGCTGCCTCCTCTATATCGCATGACCAGCCTAACCCGCTGCAAACTTTTGAAGGATTAAGTTACATTCCGCTGCAATTCCACACTTGACAGCTGAATCCAGAGATGCCAGCAAGTCGTTCCTCGGGTCCTGTGCTGCCACCTCACCAGGGAGAGTCGGCAGCTGCATCCCGCGGCCAGCACGCACCAGGGCATGAGAAGGGAGGAGGGTCTGGGCGAGCTCACCTTTTCCAGCTCATCGTGGAGCTCTGCCAGGCTGGGCCGGAGGAGCTTCTCGCCCAACTGCGCGGCCGTGTGCCGGTAGTGGTCGATCCTGGGCACCGCATCCATGGTGTTGTGGCCGAAGGTGCGCAGGTAGTAGGTGTTGGTGTGGGTGTCATAGTAGTACTGCTGATGGTGTCCACTGCCGCCGCCCGAGTGCAAGCTGCTGCCCTCGCTCAGCACCGTGTCCCCGCCGTTCTGGAAGCTCACGTTGGGCCCGTCGCCTCCGACCCCCGCCGCATCCGACAGGCTGTCGTCCGCGGACGATGAGGCAGCCGGGTCCACGAAGTTCACGCGAAAGCGGCCCTTGGCTTCCTCGCTGCCCTTAGCAGCGCCGCTCTCACCGCTGCCTTTCCCGGCCGCCGGGGTCTCCTTGCCTGTCGCCCCGGCCGCCGCCGCAGCCGCCGCGGCCCGCCCGGCGTTCTCGGAAACCGGGTCCACCTGGAAGCGGCTCTGGCTGGGGGTGGGCCCCAGAGGTCTGCCCAGACCATCGCCCGCCGCCGCCGCTCCCTCTCCGCGCACCCCGCCGGCCTGGCTCCCGGCCGTAGCATCCTCTCGACCGGAGGAAGGCACGGCAGTCCCGGGCAGGTCCACCCCGGCGACAGCCAGCGGCGCGTCCCCATCCCGGGAGGGCCGCGGTGCGCCAGACGAGGGCGCCGCGGGCCGGGGCTCCATCTCCTCCCGACGCTCGGGGAGGCTGCGGAGCCGAGCGGAGCGGGTGAACGCTTGCCTAGGGCTCGGCTCTGGCTCGTGAGCCGGCGGTCCCGCTAGAGAGCTGGAGGAGAGAGAGCGCGCCACAGAGAGTCGCAGCGCCTCAGGAGCCCGCGCGCCACACGCTCGCCGCCAGCCCCCGAGTGCCCGCGAGCGCGGCCGGCCCGCGGTTTAAAGGCGCGGCGGGGCCGCGGCGCTCCGTGCAGCACGCGGGAGGCGGGGCCGCTCAGCCCGCCCCTGGGCCCGCCCCGAGCTCTGCGCCGGCCAGCCCGGCGCGCCGAGCCCGGAGAGCGAGCGCCGGCCTCCGCGGCGCAACGAGCAGGCGCGGCCCGGGCTGCCGCACGCGTCTCCGCGCCGACCTGCGCACCGCCGCCCCTTCCGCTGCCCCCTCCGCCCGCCCGCTCCACGTTCTCCCCCGGCCGCCCGCCTGCCCGTCCGCAGCCCCGGCCCTGGTGCCAGCCGCCGCGGATGCTGGCCCTGCAGCACCGGCTCTGCAGACTCCTCTCGTCGCTGTCTTTTTCTTTTTCTTTCTTTTTTTTAAGTTCTAAACTCGCAATATTTGCGGCGAGCCGGCGAGATCTCGCGAGACGCTGCAGGGCCTGTGGGCGGTTTCCCTCAGGGCGCGTGGTACCCAGGCCCGCGGCGCTCCGGCTGCGGGTGATGCTGGGGTCTTTCCTGTTAGACCCGCGCGCGCTTCCGGAGGCGCTGGCCACGCGCGCTCCCGCCCGGAGGATGCGCGCACCCCGACGCGGGCGGGCGAGCGGCCAGGCGCCCAGCTGGAGAGCCCCGCGCCAGCGTTTTTAAGATTTGCATAACCAAAGAGTAATTCCAGCCGGGATGCGGTGGGTGTGTCCCCACTTGGGTGACACCTTTATTTTTAAAAGCTGGTGCTTGGAGGTGGCAAGGGAACCTCGTTCCGATGATGGAAGACAATTTTTAACTTCACTGTTAGGAAACGCCTCTCTCGGGATACAGTGACAGCAGCTGCCTACGCTACAATTACGAGTTTTCCGTTTGGCTGCGGGAGAGAAGAATTCCTTGGTTTTAACACAAAAATGCTCTACAGGCTTGTTTTCTCTGAAAATTTAGAGGAAGAACACCTGCTTTCCAACTTAGTAGTCTCCGTTAACTTGCTACCTCTCCGAAACCCTAAGAGAAAGCGAGCCATCACAAATAGTTTCCTCGGGTCATTGTCTGCTATGCTTGTGTTTACTCTATATTTAAAGAATTGTAGGAATAAACACCATCTCTTGCCGAATACTTTAAGCAAGATCAGAGTATCCAAGACCTCAGAGCCTGGGTTTACAAAAATAAATAAACAACCAGTCAAAAATTTAAAAGCCTTCAACTGCGATCTTACTTGCCCTTGACAATGGTCAGCATATTATCATTATCTGTATTTTAAAGATGGAAATCAAAAAGAACAGATCTTGGGTCATACACTCGGGACTTCTAAAACCACCGTGAACTTTTCTAAAATTAATGGAAAATCAGAAGAGGCCAAAAAAAAAAATCATGTGTTCTTTCAAGCAGTGTAATTTTCTACTAGGGAACACTGCTGTCCTAGTAAACGCTCTATGTTGTGCCTTCCAGCCTAAAGCTAATTTATGGCTGTAAGAATTCAACGTTAATTTACTGAACAAATGTTGACACACCTGCTATGAGCCTCCCTATGTCCTTAGGATATAGCTAAATCCAACTCGTGGATGTCATAGATAATGTAAAGAGATAAGATATTTAGCCTGTCTATCAGAAAGAAATGCTAAGGGAAAGGGGTAGGGAGATGGTAAATCTTCCTTAGGATGACATCATTGAAGTGTCCTTTGAGTGAAAAAGTGTGTTGTGCAAATATTTTGGAGCAATCTGTTCTAAGTAGAGAAAGCAAAGGCCCCAGAAGTGGGAGTAGGCCTGGTATGGAATTGCATGTCGGGCAGTGTGAGGGGAAAGAATCAAAGGCAACAGGATCAGAGTTGGAGGACGTGGGAAATGTGTCAAGCCTCTGGCTGTTGGAGATACTTTGGCTTTCTCTCTGAGTGGAATGGTAGTTCAGGCTTCCATAGTAAAATACCATGGACTGGATGACTTAAGTAAAAAAAAAAAAACTTTTTACCATAGTTCTGGAGCTCTCTGAGTTTGAGATCGAGGTCCCAGTGTGGCTAGGGTCAGGTGAGGACTCTCTGGTTACAAACAGCAGCCTTCTCACGGTGGCCTTACACAGTGGAGCAACCACTCTGATGCTACTTCCTTTTCTCATAAAGGCACAGTTTTATTGACCCCAGCTTTAACCCTAAGAGCTCTTTTAACCTTAAGGTAACGTGAAGAACCTTCTTTCCAATTCAATCAAGTGAGTGGGTGAGTGTGTGTGTGGTGGGGTAACTTCAGATACAAATGTTTGGGCTGTACAGCACAGTCCATAACAGCTGTCAAATCATTGAAGAGTTCCAGGAAGGAAGAACATTTTAAATACAGAATTATGTCCAACTCAGTGACGTTTCAGGAAAGCTGTCACATAATGTCATGATGGAGCCCTGTTTTTGTTTCCTTTTTTCAGTTTAGAAACACACACAACATTATATTAAGCCTACAATTTTCAGATCCCTAATGCTATACAGATCCCTGACTCTGCCTAGGAGAAATAGGCTATGCCACATAACACATGTATGATGTAAACTATATACCATGTAGATTTCAGTATGTATATTCTACGTGATCCGTCAAAATTACCACACAACACACTTGTCGCTCTAGGTAACCAACACAGGACCATTGTAACTGCTCTGCAGGCAAAGAAGTAAGTGACAGAAAGATCAAGATGTGTTAAAGTATGCTAGAATAATCCCCAAATGGACAGTGTTGCTTTGGCCACGGAGGTTAGTAGTAGAAAGTGGGGTAAGGGGTTGGGTGGAGCAGTAAGTGGTTGGCAAGGGATGTGGCAGCATTTGCAGACAGAAACAGTGTGTGTGGAGTAAGAACCCAAGGCTTTGGGCCTGAGCAATTGAAAGAAGAGTGGACTTTCTGAGATGAGTAGAGAAGGAAAGGAATAGGTTTGAGTGAGATGTAAAACAGGAGCTAAGAGACCTTAGAAGAATGTATGCCTGGGACACTGGGCTAAACTCTTTACATCATGGGATTAATGGCACAATGCTATGAGGAATAAAATGGCAGCACCCTCATGTGCTATGCTTAAAGCTGAGTTCAGTAGGGAAATGAGTAATTCCAAAACTCAATTACTAAAGACAGAAGGCAGGAGGAAGAAGGGACCTAAAAGATGAGAAGAAAACCAGCTGAAGTCTTTTGGATGCAGGACCAAGAAGAGTTGAATATACTGAATTACGTAACAGTATCGGTCAAGGGAATGGGAGTCGGTGTAGTTCCAGAAGAAACAATCAAAATATGCAGATGAAACTTGTAGAAACAGTGTCAGGAGGGTCTCCTTTAGTTAACTGTCCGTCATGGGGCTGTCTGATTTGCCAGGTGACAACTAAGGGACTCGCCATGGAAACAAATTCATCTTCATGACATGGAGGAGGACCTGTACACTGTTTTGTTCAGTTTTCCACCTTTTGCTAACAGCCCAGCCCCAGGTCAATGTAGTATCAGCAAATTTAGCAATTTGTACCAAATGCACATAGATTTGGAGGCTAGATAAGTCTTGGGTTGTTATATCAAACTTGCCTCTTTACAAATGCTAACCATCCTGGTTAGCTTCGACATCAACTTGCTACAACCTGGAAAGAAGGAACCACACGTGAAGAGTTACCTAGATCAGATGAGCCCATGGGCATGTCTGTAGGGCATTGTCTTGATTCCTGATTAATAAGAGGAGGGTCCAGCCCACTGTGAGCAGTATAGTCCTCAGCTCTGTAGGACAACTTAGCTGAGCATGAGCCCAAGTGAGTCAGTTAGGAAGCAGCATCTGCTGTGGTTCCAGCAGTACTTTTCTTGCCTGTAGGTCCCTTTCCTGGTGGGAGGTAACACTGCATGAAATAGCAAGCAGTCCTGCTTTCCTGCTCCTGCCCTGGGTTCCTTGCCCTGAATTCTCTCAATGGATTGTGACCAGGACGTCTAAATCAAATGAACCCCTAGCTCTCTAAGTTGCTTTCAGTGAGAATGTTTTATCACAGCTGAAGAAAGGAAGCTAGAACACTAAGGTACTCTAAATGGAGGTGTAAGTTCCCTATAAAGGTCTCTATAACTATCTACAGTGTGAGAAGAAGTACAGGACCGCGTAGAACATGTCAATAGCTTGGTTCTAAGACCAGCTCTCACAGCTCTCACTGTAGCCCAGGCTGGCCAGGAACTCACTCTGTAGGCCACACTGTCCCCAGAGTTACAGCAGGTCTCCTGCCTTTGCCTCCTAAGAGGTAGAGTTAAAAACATGAGCTGCTGCCTGACTTCATGGGGAATCTTTAAAATTCACACATACACACACACACACACACACACACACACACAGACACGTGCACGCGCACCAAGACAATGAGTTCAGTTAGACAAGCTGACCTGGTTATGGTTTTCTGCTTTCACTAGCTGGCATTACGCACACTGATGAAGTCAACAGTATTTCCCTTGAGAAATAAAGTGATTATCCTATCATGGAAAAAAAAAAGTTGCCCTAGAGAAACTTGATCATGCTGTACATGTTATATTGTTTCCTTCCCTAAGTTCCCTTCCCATTCTTTTTCATTAAAAATATTGTAAATATTTTCAAGTAAGTATGCAACATTAATTCAAACCTTATTATCCTTTTTCACAGCACAATATTGAAATTCATGTTTATAAGTTATCCCTTTTAAAGTAGATAACCCAAAGCTATCTGTCTGTCTGTCTGTATATCTATGTGCCTCTGTTTGTGCGTCTGTCTCTCTGCCCTACTCCTTCTGTGTGTGATGGTACAACCTCAGCTGTCTCCGTCTGTGTATGTGTAAGCACGTGTGTGTGCGTGCGCGTGTGTGCACGTGCGTGTGTGTGTGTGTGTGTGTGTGTGTGTGTGTGATGGTACTACCTCAGTCCTTTCTCAGGAGCTGTCTAACTTGTTTTTTGAGATAGTCTCTTAACTGGGTCCTTGGGTTCATTGATTAGAAAAGCTGACTGGCCAGCTAGCCCCAGGGAATTGCCTGTCTCCATACCACCCCACCTAACTGGGATAACAAATCTCTCCATCATGCCTAGCCTTTCACAAGGGCCCTGGGGATCAAACTCAGCCCCTTGTGCTTATAAGGTATGTACTCTACTGACCTGTCTTCCCAGCCCCCACTTTTTTTAATTTAAATGTTTTATGTTGCTCTTATCCAAATTGTAAATTATAGTTAGGTCTGGTGGCCCACACTTTTGATCCCAGCACCTAGGAGGCAGAGGCAGCCAG